AGATCAGAAAATCCGAACTCTTATTTTAGATATTATTTTAGAAAAACTGTCTTCATCATCTATAGAAAAGCCTTTTTCTTCAGAAGATTAGGAGATTTGACTTCTTCTTCCGTAGAGGTGTAGGATATCTGGCTTCTTCTGTAAGCAACACAACACTTGGTCATACGTCTTTGCGTAAAGCAAAACTTAGATCAGAAAATCCGAATTCTTATTTTATAGAAAACCCGTCTTCATCTTCTATAGAAGAGCTAGAGGATTTTTTTTATAAGAAAATCGGAAGATTTTGTTTCTGGAAAATTTTCTGTAAAAGTTCTTCTAAAAAATACCTAAGTAAGGACCAGCTGTATAAGACCGGTTGATGTTCTGTTACATAATACCGGTTTATCTTTATCTTCGGAATACTAAAAAGGCTTACTATATTAAAACCAGACATTAATTTCGTCTATATTAAAAGAAAACAGACCTTCGATTCTCATTTAAGAAGAATCCAGATAATATGATAGTATATAGAAGAAACCTTGCATCCTGCTCGTCTCTAAAAGAAGCTAGACCTTATCTTCGTTTATACAAATACCCAGACCTTCTACTCGTATATATATGAAGAATCCAGATAATCCGATATTCTGTAGAAGAAACCATGCATTCTGCTCTTCCAGTGGCGAATAAGCCACACCTTCTGTTCTTCGATAGATCTCGTCTATACGAATACCTACAATCTCTACAAGGAACCAATTCGCTTTCTTATATAGGATACCAGTTGGTACTGCTTTAGAAGTATTTCCCTCCATAGAAGTATTTAATTCGTATGCTTGGATTGGTGCCACAAATGCTAAATCGTTTTGGAGGCCTATGTATGCGTGTGTTTAACAACACACTTACGATGTGTACTGTAGTAGTATTTGTTGTTACAATTTAGTATTTTTCGGAAACGCATATGGGCTTGTACATTTAACACACCAACTGACGCGGCTCAAAAAATACTGGCAGACAGACATCATCTCCCGTTTGAATTGGCTCAAAGAAGTAAAAACAAGCAAAGGTGGAACACGTGTTCAATGAGCCCAGTTCTTCCTTTTCTACTTCCAGTCAAAGGTAAAACCATTTTGAGCAATTCTTAAACAAAATAACCCCCGAAAACCAACTTCGAATGAATTGTAAATGAACTTAACCCCAATCCTCAACAGAAATAATCATTATTGGAATTAAATTTGAATTGCTTGTCCTTCCACCAAAAAAAGGAAAAACATAATGGGGGACCTCAAAAAAAGGATTAACTCTTTGCCATGAGTCGCCTGGCCGGCCAACTGTAACATCAGCGGCAGCAGCATCGTCAGTCAGCATCATTAACATTGAGGTAAAAGGAACATTGTCAACATGACACCTACCAAAAAAGGAACAAACCCGAAGAGAATACAAAAACAAATAATCGGTCACACAGACAAAGAAAGAGTTGCCGAGCGAAAGGAGTACGCACGCGCATACGAATATTAGACCAACTGTCATCATTCGGTTTTGTGTTGTTTTATTTGCTGTTGTTGTCTCGAGTGATCAATGAAAACACACGTGGAGCATAGTGGACGTTATAGAATCCCTTTCTTTCCTGCCACTTAACGGTTCCTTTTTAACCTTTTCTCTGAGGCGCTACCTAGGAAGAACAAGTTGTAGATAAGGAGGAGAAGTCATTCATTAAAAATGCGGAACTGCTGCATCATACAAACGTTTATAATTATGGTGATTTGTTATATAATCACCAATGGGGGTGTTCTACTAGAGCAACATATTTTTTTTTTTAAAAATATGATACCATAGAAAAAGACAAAGTTAGACGTTTTGCTTTTTAATAGAAGTGAGGACGAAAATGCGGCCTGTACTTCTATAAAATGGGAGGTTTGAATTTCAGGTTTTCTATAGAAGAGGAAGCCAAAATTTAAGCTCTTCTATAGAAGAGGAGACACTAATGTTTTCTCTTCTATAAATGAGAACCCTAGACCTTCTGTTGAGTCTAGAAGAAGCTAGACTTTCCGCTCTTAAATTAAGGTAAAATCTTGTGCTACTTTATATATGAAGCCAACATCTTTGGATTGGATTGGAGCAGCACTTCTACTGGTTATGAAAGAAATATGAGGTTCTGCTACCTTCACAGGAGAAGATGTATCCAGACCTTCTGCTATTTTATAGATGAATCCAAACTTTCTACCTTCTAAGAGTAGAAAATCAGCTATTTTATAGAAGAAATCAGAACTTCTTATTTACTTCAGGTCTAGACCTTCTGCTCTTCTGTTGAAGCCGCAACCGTTATTTAATTCAGACCTATGGAGTATAAAAAGACATTCTTCTATAGTACAAGCTGATTTTCTGCTATTTAATAGAAGAAAGCAATACTTCGTGTTTACTTTTGTAAGATCTAGACTTTCTATTCGTCTATTAAAGCCAGAACTTATGCTCTTCTATAGAAGAATAGAGACCTGTTTTATACTCTCAGCTTTATGTGAGCATTATGAGAGCATATACGCTTGGCCACTGTAAATATTTGCCTCATTGAAATTTCGTTTCTACACCCTATGTTTCCATGTACGAAATCCGCTTCATACAATTTGGAATCGATTTAGAAATATCGGTCAAACCCTTCTTGTACCTTCACCACAGTCTCAAATTGCTGCTTAATTTCGTAATATAATGCGAACGGTGTATTTGAACCGAAGTTGGCACAACCAGCCACAAACAATCGTATATATAATTTTTGAATATGGTGAATACCGGCCCATTTCTTCTTGGCACCAACTCCTCAACTTTTCCAAACTTTGAAAATTTTTAAATCCAATAACAATCGAATTGAATGTCCGATTTATTCCAAACATTGTTCATCGTAATTTTTTCACCAAGCCTAAATCAAGTTCGAACGTGGGGCTTCTTCTAACAACAAAGTATTAACATTTTGGATGATTCATATCATACACATCGTAATATTTTTACCAAACCGACATCAAGACCGAAGTTGTTAGAATATCGAACCGCTCCTTCTGGTAGCTCCCTCACAACGATATGAAGCACTGGGAGTATTTAAGAGAAAGTCGATCCTGCTGCACTCCTACATAATAAACCTATAGAAAAAACCTGCGGAAGAATTCAGAACTTATGTTCTTTTATAGAGAAAGGAAGATCAACCTTCTGGAGAATTAAGGCATTCTGATCTTTTACAGGAGAAGCCAAACCTTTTATTCTTCGTTAGTCCAAGTCAGAGCATCTGCAGAGCCAGACCTGATGTTATTTTATAGAAGTCTGACCTTCAGATCTTCTATGGAAGAAGGCAGATCGTCCGCTCCTTTGTAGAAGAAAACCGATCGTATGTTCTTCTATAGAATAAGCCTGACCTGCCAATATTCTATAGAAGAATACAGAACTGTTAGTCTTTTTTCCTTTTGGGTTAGAACTGATGGTTTTTTTTATAGAAAAAGCCAAACCTTCTGCTCTTCTGTAGAAAAAGCAAGAACATATACTCGTATATAGAAAAAGCCGAACCATCTGATCGTCTATAGAAAAAATCCAGATCTTCTGTCCGTCTATCGAAGAATCTTTTATAAAAAAGTTCAGACCATCTGCTTTTATTCTCTTCTAGAGAAGAAAGTAGACCTTCAGATCTTCTATAGAAGAATCCAGATAATTCCATGTTCTTTTGAAGAAGTCATTACTTCTGCTCTCATATAGAAGAAGCCAGAACTTCTGATCTTCTTAAAAAAACTAATCACATTGTTCTTCCAAATAAAAAGCTAGACCTTAGAGCTTTCCATAGAAAAAGCCAGATCATCTGAACGTATATATAAGAATCAGAAGAAGCCTGAAAAGATCCCGACATGTTTCTATGCAAAAGATCAGACTTGCCACTGATTTTATAGAAGAAGTCATATGTAGAAGAATCCATACCTTCTGCTGCTTCCATGGAGGAAACCAGTCCTCCTAACCATCTCTATAAGAGAAGACTGGACCTTGGAAGATCTTCTACTGGAGATAAAACCAGACCCTATACTCTTTTAATATAGAACAAATCTCTCCTACATATCTTCTGCAGTAGAAACCAGACGTTTTGCTATTTTCATGGAAATAAGAAGACCTCTCGATATTTTCCTCAAAAAATGCAGACCCTTTAGAAGCTAGTCTTTGAGCAACACACACAGTTATTCCGGAGAAGCCAGACATTCTGCCCTTTTCTAAAAAATGTGTTACGCTGCATCTAATAACGAATTCAGCTGTCTGAAGAATTCAGACCTTCAGCTGTAGAAGAAGCCAAGCCTACACTGCTCTATATAAAATATACTACTTCTTCCCTTGATTCTATAGAGACCAGTCCCGCTACTTATTTTATAGGAGAAAACCAGGACTATAGATTCATCCAATTACCTATCCTTCTGTAGTTATACCTTCTACCACATATAAAGAATCCGCTTTGTTTTCGGAGTTTTTAGGAGAGCAAGTTTCCATCGAAGTGACAATTTCCCATCGAAATGGCTGTAATTTGGAATTCCGAGTACTTAGAGCTTGAAAAACATATGTTCGAAACAGTTTTTGTATGGTTCCATGTTTTGACATAGCCGCAATATAAACGTTCAGCTCCATTTTCGGGGATCTTTAAGGTCTTGGCTACAATTTCCCACGAAAGTGGCTGTAATTTGGCATCCCGGGTTCTTGGAAGGATAACCACAATTGTACCGATTAATTTTTGATCTTTTGACGTTCTAGCACAATTTTCTAAAAATAGTCTGGAATTCCAACACAAAGTGTACATAGTCCCCATATAAAGGTCCCGATTTTTGTAGAAACTCTGCTGCTCCTGTAGAGTATGTCAGATCTTCTGCTCTAAAACTAGATCTAATGACAATGTTTACAAGAATCCAAACCTTGTATAAAGGAGGTCAGAACCTGTTCTTTCCCGAAAAATTACAACAACTCACAACAAAACTTTATAAATAGATTTATTTCGTTTTCAAAATCTCTAAAAATCATCATCATTTAATGTTGTTACTATTATTATGACATGTTGTCAGAATACGATCTAAATATTCGACAGTATCCTCTACCACTTTATCGGCACAGGTGCGGGAAGATTCTCCCACGTCATTGGCAATTTGATGTGTATGTAAAACTTCCATACTGGCACGATTCAACAGGATTGCTAAATCTCGATTTAATTCGGAAATTTTTTCAATAAAACATGCTGTCATGCTTGCGAACGAATATTCCGATTTTTCACATTGACTCGGCAATGTGGCAATTTGTTGAGAACCCATTTCCAAGGATTTGGTTATATCCATTGAATCATTTTGAAAATTATGCAAAATATCGGTAAGATTTTTTGTACATCCTGATAACTGGGAATCGATGCGTTCTCGCAATTCTTCCATTGTAAGAAGGCGTTGGCATTCAGGTTTTTCTATGGCCTCTTGGATTTCGATAATGGGTTGTGTCAAATGTTCCAAAGCCGTATCGATAATGATCTCAATATCACCGATTATGGTTTGACTGATGATCTCAATTTTGTTGGATAGCTGCGAGGTTAAATCTTGGGCAATTTTATGGGTATGAATGGCGAGGTTTTCCATGACATGTGATGAGGGACCCTTGTTAATGTCATTTTGACGCGGCTGTACCGCCACCATGGAAGCTAGAGCCTTGAGAGATGGTAACATTTATTTTAAAAATCTTACAAAAATGTTCGGACTCACCCTTTCATTGCTCTGTAGTAGAATTGTAAAAATCAAAAGTTTCCACATCACGCTATCCATTGCCCACCAAACTGTGTCGTTTACTGTGAAAATCTGAACTGCACTCACTTTTACCTTCGTATCGATATTTGCCATCGAATATCAACATTGATTTTCTAGAAGTCGGCTGTTAGATAAGTTGTTGTGGTTTCCTCTTGGCATCGATTTCAATGTTACGAACTGATAAAAAAATCTGATACATCTTTCAATGTCATCGCCAGACATTGCTCTTCCCTTGACGACCCACTTAGTGGAGGGTGGAGGAGAGTAGTTAAAATGTGTCGAATGGTTGTTTTGTTTTCAAATTACAATATCAAAATTTGCACTCTATTTAATTGAAAGAGAAACAAAATTGATAACTTCTTCGGAATTTGGAACAAAGATTGTGGGGAATTTTTAAAGAAAATTTAGTGCGAAATATTTTTTGAATTCGTGCAGTAGTTGAGCAGAAGAATGAAGTTTTGGTTATTTTGTGGAATATCGTCTATTTTGGTAAAGTGATTTTTTGAAGTATTAAGTTGGTAATTTTATTCGAATTTTTTATTATAAGAAGCCGATTACTTCGACGTAACGAACGAAGGAAAATCTTTGTAATTCAATAATTGTTTCATATCAAACTCTGGCCCTTGACTAGTTGTAAAATGTGGAACTCTAAGTGAAATAATTGTGAAACATATAAAACAAAATCAGGCCTTTTTCTCGTTTATAGAGGAGGCCAGACTTTCTGTTCGTCTATAGAAGAGGCCAAAGCCCTCTATTCTTCTACAGAAGACGCCAGACCTTATGTTCGTCTATAGAAGAAAACAAACCGTCTGATCGTTTATAGAAGAAGCCAGACCTCCTGCTGTTTTATAGTAGAAGCCAGACCTTCTGCTCTTCTATACCTGTAGCCAGACCTTCTGATCTTCTATTGAAGAAGCCACACTTGCTGCTATTGTACAAAATAAGTCAAACCTTCTGCCCTCTATAGAAGAAACCAGACCTACCGCTCTCTTATATAAGAAGCCAGAACTCTGAGTAAAATAATTATGAACGATATAAAAGAAGTAAAAAAGTGTCAGTCGGTGTTACCGGCATATATACACCCTCAGTCTATGACATATCGGAGGAGGTGCCAGAGATGAGGAACCTATATATACAATAGTGGCACTAAATCTATAAATATCGTATATATAAATATTTGATATATTGGTACTACACAGGATACACCATTTTGATCTGTGTGGACGAGGTACTAGAATAAGTGGGACAGCGGGTCTCATCTTCGGAACTTGAACTGTGTTTGGTAAAAATATTACAATGGTATATTTAACTGATGAAATCAGATACTCTCTAAGCTTCAAAAGGAACTCACAAGTTTTAAAAATATTTATAATTTGTGGGGGAGGTAACAGAAGAAGTGAGCCAATGACTTCCATATTCGGCCTTGTTCCGGATTACGTAAAAATATTACAATTGACAATTATCGAATCATACGCTTCATATGAAATTTCCAAATTTTGAGGGTCTATTCTTCGGGCTTCGTTTAGAATGAAGGTCTGACTCCTTTTATAAAAGAGCGGAACATCTGGGTTGTTGTATACGACATCTGGGTTATTGTATAGAAATATCACCAGATCTGATTTTCTCAGTAGATACAGCAGGAAATTTCTTCTATAGATGAGAAGAAGGCAATACCTTCACAGAACGGTTGCTGTCTAATAGAAGAACTAAAGGACTGGTTACAAAAGAAGAGCACAAGGTTTGGTTTTTCTATAAAAAAAAAAACAGCAAGTCTGACTTCTTTTATAGAATATCATAAGGCCTTCTATAGAAGAGGATTTGAACAAAATGTTGTCTTATTTTGTAGAAGAACAGAAGCATGTTAAAGAGTGGAAGCTCTGACTTCTCCAGAAGGTCTGAGCAGATAATCGATTTTCTTATATAAAAGAACAACAGGTCTGAGTCCTTCTATAGAATAGCAAGTGGTCTGATCTGAATGTCTTGCTTTTTCTATAGAAGAGTAAGAGTTTTGGCTCTTTGATAGAAGAGCAGCATGTCTGACTTCCTCTGTAGGAGTGCAGTAGGCCCTACTTCCCCTTGCTTCATTTAAAATGTACAGGCTTTTAAAATGTTGAACAACCCCCCAAAAAAGGATCCACATCCAGAAGGGGTGAATCTCATCAACAGACTTCTGGATCCTTGATCCAAGTGCAGTAAAATATTACTATGTATCAAATTTTTATAAAATTACATATTCCGTTCGATTTATACGATATTTATAAGTGTTCCACATTTTGGTTCTTCGTGGTTCGATAAGCTCCATCTTCAATCGTTATAAAGGCTTGATTAAAATATTTGCAAAATTTGGATACCTCGTTTGCAGTTTCGTTCCGATATTTAAAAAACAGTGCAAAATTGTGAACCAATCGGCGGGCAGATAGTGTATTCGTGGGCTATTTACATTAAGGGGAGCCCCCCATTCTCGGGGTCAAAAATTTGATATAATTCGAATATATAATATAATTCGAATATAATTCGAATACACTAATTAAAGAATGTCCCTACAAAATTTCAGATGGAAATCTCAAGAACACTTGAAGATATAGCCGATTTATTGTGTCAGCATCAAGTGACGGCTGAAGGGCTTCTCAAACTTTAAACGCGTTTTCCTCCAAACATTTTTTTGCGAATGGCGGCCACGATAACTCAAAAACTAATAACACGATATATATTTCAAATATTTTTCACGTTTCTCTGTGAGTGTATAGCTATCGTATGAACTATGATAAAGCCAATCGGTGAAGATCTTCCTTATTTTTTAACCTGGGTTTTGGTAAAAAATCGGCATTTTCCAAAAATATTTTTTCAAAGGTCCGCCATTTTGTTAATTTTAGAGCGAAGTCAATAATACTGTACTCTTTCTAACACCGTTGGAATTTTCGGATCCGATTTCCAGCGAGGAGTTATCATGCCCGCCATCAAAAATAATGACTTTTCTTTAATTACAAAAAACAACAAAACAATAACAAAATTTTTTTGTAAATTATTTTTCTTCTATTTTAAATCTTCAATTATATATGTGTAAAGTTACAAACTTTAACAAGAATTGGTATTGATTTACCAGCCCATTGAAAATCTTGAAAAATTATAATCGAGAGTGGGTAGGGTTCCCTTAAATCGGAACAAAATATTTATGGGAGCTATAACTATCAGATTCTCACCAAACTTTTGGTGAAATAAATGAGCTGTAAACAATTTCATCATATTCGAATAATAAGTACGACCTTTTCTTTGTAGACAAAAATACATTAACAAACGGGAGAGTGGAGAGTACATCCTCCAAATTTATAATGGGTCTATCTACTTTCATTTCGTATGTTACACACATATACATAAGACCTATAATATCCTCGTCAACAGAGCACTCTTTATACTATTATGTGGAAAGTCGTTTTTTGTTTCTAATCCAGATCGTTTGTCACGTTCGGATCATCGGAGTCTTCCTTGCAAACATCTGGATGAACCCTGACCATATGGTGTTTATATAGTCACTCCTCTGTTGTTTCTATAGACGAAATCATACTTCTTGGTACTTCTGTAGAAGAAATTAGTCCAAATTCTATTATCTTTGGATCTTCGACAGAACATGCTAGAACATTTGCTCTATTAAATAAACTAAACCTTTATTTAATAAGAAAATGATAGAAAAATGGGCCGGGAAATATGACCCTAAAATTGGGAATGGATCTATATTTAACATTTTTCAAAAAACATCCAATTCGATGGGAAACTGTTGTCTCACCGGACCTTTACAAGTATCTATGTCAAAAATATTCTGAAAATTCAATTTGGAAATTTGCTTGTAAATTTCGATGTACCAAAGATGTAACTTCGTTATGAAAATGTGGCTAAAACCTTCAAAGTATTGAATATGGGATGAGACCATTGTACAATAATGGTCCTATATCAAAAATAAGCGACACAAAGCTTCTGGCCCTTCAATAAGCTGGAATGACAAATTACGAAAAAAATAAAGTACAGAAAATGAGAGGGGTCTCCGACAAATATTTCAGGGTGTTGCGAAGGGATTGGAAAATTTAATATAAGAAGTTAAGAGTAGTTAAATACGAAAGAGCCGAACATTTATACTCTCAAACTTTCTAATATTATTTTGTTTTCAGAGACAGAATATTCAGAAGAACTAATTAACCAACACAACAATATTGACAATAATTAAAATTTTACTATAGTTCGTTTTGTTATATTATAGTACGTATTTCCAAAACTACCTCATATCTCAAGACTACACACCAATTCTGACCTCAACAGATACCTAGCTCTACTAATTTTTGTACCATTTATTACCTTTCGTACTCTTGAAGTACCTATTTCCAAAACTAATTCAAAATTTCATGATTTGAGGTCTCAAATCTAAATTTTACCAAATTTAGTACCATATAGTACATAGTAATATAAATCATATATCCCAATTTGAGGATTCCAGCCCGATCGCTTCATATCCACTGCATACCCACATCTCACACTCCACACTCATAATTCTAATTTTCAAAATTCCCGCTCTATTAGTTCACCGAAATCCAAATTTGGTAACATTTTGTACCAATTTGGGTAGACATTAGTACGAATTGCCAAAACTTCTTACATGGCCCAATTGAACACCTCAACAGTGATCCTAACTCCAAATTTCAAGATTCCAACTCTATCGGTTGACCCTAATCCAAATTTGGTACCATTTAGTACACAATAGTACGAATTTCCAAAACTTCCTACATACCACAATCCTACAGGCCAACAATGATCCTAACTTCAAATTTCAAGATTCCTGCTCTCTCGGTCCAGCAAAAATTCGAATCGTACCAAATTTAGTACCATATAGTACACATTAGTAAGAATTTCCAAAACTTTTAACATACTCTAATTCTACACCCCCAAAGTTATCTTAACTGCAAATTTCAGGATTCCTGCTCTATAGGTCCTTCCAAATATTCAAATTGTACCAAAATTTAGTACCATTTAGTATTCACAAGTATGAATTTCCAGAACTACATCCACCACCCAATCCTTCGACGGTAATGTAATTTCAAATTTCAGGATTTCAGCTCTATCCGTTTCTGCAAATATTGATTGTACCAAATTTAGTACAGTTTAGTACATTTCGTATACATGACATATACACGCTTTCAAGACCATCTCCTTATATCGAACCTACTTCTCAACCTTTATTCACATTTCAAATTTAAAGTTTAGCTCTGCTACGGAATTGTACCAAATTTAGTACATTCTAGTATTTTTCGGTTACTCATAGTTGGAATATCCAAAAAACTGTTTGTTACATTCTATTCTACACTCAGTAACCCTCTTTTCAAATTTAATAGCTCTAGCTTAACCGGTTCGCCAAATGGCACCACATTTAGTACATTTTAGTACTTTTGGTGCCGTTCTACTCCGAATTTCCAAAAAGCCAGCCTTATCTGACACCTTTGTACCAAAAGTGACCTTCACCCGAAATTTCAAGATTCTAGCTGTAGACGTTTCGTCTGGGCGTTGATGAATCCTTAAGCCAAGAAGCATTGTTCAGTACCTCCTCGGGTAGCTGGTTAAAAAGACGGATCCCTTTTCATACTAAAAATAATTCAATATTTCACTCTCAGTTTTTATACCCTACACAACTATGTTGTCAGGGTATTTTGTGCAGCCCCAAGAGTTTGTAACGCCGCGAAATATTGGTCCTAGACCCACCTTTAAGTATACCGATCGTCATATCTCGACTAGCTGAGTCGATCTAGGCATGTGTGTCCGTCCGTCCACTATAATTTGTAAACACGATACAGGCCACAGTTATGGACCGATCTTCACGAAATGGACCAAAAACTTTATTTTTGGCTGATTTTCTGGCCGCTCCAGAGGCCGCAATTATGACCCAAACATCGCGAATTTTCACAAGGAGGACGGGATCGGGCCAAAGAATAAGCGTGCCTTTTTTGATAAAGATCTGTCAATATTTGGCGGGTCAAATGGACCTTGAGTTTTGTGTGAAAAATGACAAACTTTGTGTATATATTTACCGCTGAAGGACATAGACACGAGAAGTTGATAGTATATCCAAGAGGAGCGGTTGACCTTTAAATTGATACCAATTATATTGTCGTATGTTCTCGGATGTGGGAGTTACACTTAAATATTTGCAGGTGTCTACGTATTCAGATATTATGTATTAACCCATTACCACACCAGTGGGTCCGCCCTCTGGCTGATAGCTTTGAAATTTCCATGAAGTTCCAGTTATGGTCAAGGACAACGCCTATATGTTCTGTGATGATCAGATAATAATTTTGGGATGAAGTGGACCGAAAACTAAATTTGTTGTGTTTTCGAGTCGATCTATAGGCCAAAATTATAAGCCTTGATGTTCGGCTTATAATTTTGGCCTATGGGGAATTGAATATGGACAAGTACCGAATATTAGAAATATTCGGAAAATAAGTCAGTTTAAAGAAAGAGGTTATGTTGACCTCTAATCGGGCAAGAGGGTGCAACTATCACGATGAAGTGGACCGAAAACTAAATTTGTTGTGTTTTCGAGTCGAACTATAGGCCAAAATTATAAGCCTTGATGTTCGGCTTATAATTTTGGCCTATGGGGAATTGAATATGGACAAGTACCGAATATTAGAAATATTCGGAAAATAAGTCAGTTTAAAGAAAGAGGTTATGTTGACCTCTAATCGGGCAAGAGGGTGCAACTATCACGATATATTGCCCAGGCTCGGAATAAAAATCCTCAGAATGTTAAAGCCACGTGGTAGTTGTGTAGGGTATCGTATGGTCGGCCCGGTCCGACTATACTGCTCCGCTCACTGGTTTTAAATTAGCTGGATATTCAGATTCTCAGCACAGCTTCTTGTACTTTTGTTCTCTCCTCGGCAGAGAGATTTTTGCCACCGAATTTTGACAGTAAATAGAACGATCATTCCATACAGCTACTAATCCTTCTTAAAATTTGCAGCTCTTAGGCATTCATTGCCGTCGAGAATTACCCCAGGTGATTTGGAAGCATGGACCCCTATACGAAGGCATACAACATTTGATATCTGAAGAAAAGACGGCAGCAGAGCAAATTTGGAATGATACAAAATTGCGCATCGAAACGACAGCAAATGAATATCAAAAGGCTCAAAATTATTTGCGGAACTTCGAGGAGATATTCAACGAGAAGATACAACAAATTCGGGAATGGCAACAATACGAAGAGCTGCAAAAATGCTATAAACAATATGAACGACAGATTGCCCGCTTTAATCGTAATTTAATTTATAAATTTCGGGTATGTCGTCAAGCACTGAATAGTAGCCTCTCGCAGTTGGAAGATGAAATCCGCACGGAGGTGTTATATATTCGTGATGCTGCCATTGAAATACAAGAAGTTGTGTATGATTGTAATGTTACGGATTTGAAGAGCTATAATGAAGTGGAGGAGAACTATATGCATGGCAGCCATGTAACCATGTGTGTCATTTCGAAGTTGAGTGCAATCCGCCAGCAGCAATTCGAGGCCAGGCATATTTCGTTGGAAATCCTAGGACGTATTGTGGCCAGTGATATCCATCAAAATGAAATGACAGAGGGTAATGGTGGTGGCGACGGAGTTGTGTCTAGACCCAAAGGTGATAATGTTTGTTTGGAATTCCGTCATTTGCGAGAAGAGTTTGAAACGATCTATGATCGCATCTTACGTTGTATTGTGGATGGAAAATAATCAATTTGTGAATCTTTTCAGATTTTTAAATGAAAAATAAAGTGAATAATTAAAATATTTTTTTTTATTTAAAAGTATTAGAAATTATTATTGGATATTGGGTCTTTGGAAATTGGATTTTAACAGGTCCTGTTCCATTTAATTTTACATACAAATTCCAAAATTATATTTCCACATAAACAATAGACAAATTATTTTTTCAAAATCAAAAGTAAAAAAAATGTATAAAATGGACCTCGGTTAAATAGAAAATAAAAGTGATATATTAGTCTTGAAATTAAATAATAAATAATCCGCTAATGTTTACAAAATATGCATTGTTCTAAAGCGGGGCTCTTCAGTTAAAAAAAATATAATATCAAAGGGGATGAAAATCAACGACAGCATGTTATTCATATAGATGGAATACAGGGCATACATTTTCCAGTTCATGCCGACAAAGGGATGAGAAAAAAATGCCGACAGTACTAATTGAAGGACATCAAAAAAAGTTGCGGTTTTCTTGGTTAATCTTTAAAATGACCCCTCGAAAACGATTAGTAAAAAATTAAGCAATAAAATTTGTTCAGGTTCACGCAAATTCAAAACATCTATCAAGGACAATAAATCCCACAAAAAATAATCGGGATGGTAATAATTCAATCCTCGAGGTCATCAATTATAATTGTTGTTGTTTTTATGAACTGCGACTTAGAGCTAATAAGGGTACATACATACCGTACATATTGGGTACCCCGTACATATTGCGGAGAGTAGACTGAATAATATTTATTCAAATCGGGGCTCGGCAAAACGGCTGATGCTAGAATCTTGAAATTTGGAGTGAAGGTCACTCTTAGTCCGAAAGTGTCAGATAAGGCTGGGGTTTTAGAAATACGTACTAGAACGGTACGAGAAGTACTAAATGTAGTACCATTTGCATTTGGCGAACAGGTGGAACTAGAAATCTTAAATTTGGAATGAGGATCACTCAAGTAGTCTAGGAAATACTACAAATTCGAACTATAAATATCCGAAAAGTACTACATTTGGTATAATTTCGTAGCATGAAATTTGGAATGCAAATCAAGCTTGCTAAGTAGGGTCGATGTAAAGAGTTGGGTTTGAACGAATGTTGTCATTTATACGAAAATTACTAAACAGTACCAAATTTGGTTCAATTTGAATTTGAAGGAACAGATGGAGCTTATTTAGCTGGCTTGTGACAGAACATTTGTTACATAAGACGAGCTTAACACTAGAACGCCGAAGGCCGTCATTTTGACCGCTTTCCAATTTCAAGTACAAAAGCAAGTGTGCATTTATTAACACTTTTTTTTAAATATGGTGACTTTTTGTACCTCATAGAATTACGTTTATTATAAAAAATTCACCAAATTTAAAAAAAGTGTCATTAAATGCACAGTTGCTTTTGTACTTGAAATTGGATAGCGGTCAAAATGACCGCCTTCGGCGTTCTAGTGTTAAAAATGTTCTTGAGCGCAGCTCTTAAAATTTGAAAGACAATATTTCGAAATGTTCTCGTCCACTGGATCTTTCCATCTAAATACCTCTGAACGGAGAAGGCTGTAATGCGGCTTTATAGTCGACGAATAGGTTGAATGTGTCGACGTATTTTTCGTGGGTCTTTTCCAGGATTTGTCGCAAAGTGAAAATCTGTTCAATCGTGGATTTGCCATGCCTGAAGACGCATTTGTATGGTCCAATAATGTCATTGTTACAGTACGATAGCACTTTATATGTGATGGGAAAGAGACTTATTCCTCTATAGGTAGGACATATCGCCTTGTCTCATTTTTTGTGTTTAGAAACAATTTTTCTAAACTATGTTCCTTTATATGATTTTAAATACAAAAATTTTGATTTTTATTCCGACAACATTTTTTTTTTGACACTGAATGGGTTAATTCTTTAAAAAGTTGACCAATATTGATAGCTTGTTTTTTGTAGGAAGATTTGCTACCCAATTAGAACCTAAAATACATAAAGGCAGGCAAATCATTTAAAAAACGTTCGCAAAATCTAAAAAATCCGAATAATTGGGTATTCCGTTAAATGGGGGCTACCCGAAAACTAGTCCAATATTGATCTTCTTTGTAGAGAGATTTTCTTTACTATGAGAACCTAAAATACCAAATTACAGCCAAATCGGTTTAAAAAACAAACCCAAAATTCCAAAAAAAAAACTCAAAATGCAGGTGACGTGGCTTGTTTGGTGAAGTTAAGTTTTTGGAAAATATTTTGCCGCTAAAATCGCGATTTCAGCCATAGTGCATTGTGTGGCGGAGGTACCAGAAAGAGTGTAGCGATGGATCCCATCTTTGGATTCAATCCAGGCTAGATAAAAAATTAGACCTTTTGTGGGATGAGTGGAGTGATACGTTCCATCTTCCAACATTATATATGCATAGTTAATGCATAGTTATAGCCAGTTGTGTATTGTTGTATGTTGGTTCAAATCGCATAGTCCGTTATCAAATTTATTTTCAGCAAAAATTTGAAAATTTTGTGGAGGAGGTACCAGAATCTTCTCCTTCATGAGGTAAATTTTTGCCGTATGCACTATGAACAATGCTTGCATGTAAACCTCTATTTTATCAATGCTGTTCAAAGGTGCTCCCCTCTCCTCAATATTCCCTAATAAGCCATAAGGCCTAGGGTATAAAAATTGGTTCAATTGCAACGGATGACACCTCCTTCGCGTTCGTAATGGTCATTCTTTGTAATCCGCCCAATCCTTCCATACAGAAAAATTTGACCAGTATATTAAAATGTCGATATGCGAACGCATACTCACTTCAAGATTTGTTAGAATCAAATTTTAGAACAATTACATATCCAAAACTAATGTCGATTTTTTCCATTGCCTAATTGAAAATGTTTTTCAGTTCAGTTGATAATAGAAATAACAATTAACCTACAAAATGCAATTAACCAATAAATTTGATTGACGGCAATATTTGATGGCAATAAAATTGAATACACCCCCTCCACTCGATGAGATGAAAGTAAAAGAAACTAAAAATTTGCCGACAAAAATACGAATATCCCTATGGAGCTGTACGATCAGCAAATGAGAAAGTAATTAATAAATTACAACACCGATAAAAATCAAATTCACATCGAACTCTCAGCAGTTAGAACTCATCAAAGGGCCACAGAACGATGGTAGGTAAACTACCACAGAAGCAAAACTCACTCACTACGCTACACATATCCATGTGAAAATGTTTCCAAGTAAACCATATTGTTGATGATGATGCTGTTGTTGATGATCCTGATCATAACTGTCTCATTGAGGCAATGAGAAATGTAATTGTTCAACAACAAAAGAAACGACCTACAGCATCGAATTTTCTCACGCACACGCACAATGAGAGTGGGCAGAGAGGGGAATTCCCAGTATGGTTAGGATGGGCATGCGTATGTTACATTCGGATTCTCATACTCATTGGCATTGCCACCAGCAAAGTCAAGAATTTGTTTATTATGGCAAGGGCGTGTTACGCCTGTCAACATTTCAAATCTTGATGACCGACAAATTCTCTCAATTCACCCGAGTTCTGACCATAGAAAAAAATCGAACAATAGCAACCTGGCATTGTAGTACTGGCGAACAATAGCGAAAATGGTCAAGTAGTAGTACCCACACACACGGTCATCTTCGTCGTCTCCTCGCCGTCCTCCTACTCGTAATAATCTTCGAAAATATTTTCACCAAAAAACGATCATCAGCGAACAATGGCGAAACGGATTAGTGAAAGAGAACATGAGAGTTACATTGTTTGCTTTGTGGTGGTGATGTTGTTCGAAGGACAATGGATGAATGCCAAGAAGTCAGGATTACCTCACATTAGTGTGTCTATGATATGTGTGTGAGGAATATCATATCATGTGTGTGGTGGCCTCTTGAGAGCTCGAAAACAATACAACCACTTGACCGAACAGCAGCCAGTTCATTGAAACTCCTAAAGAAAGAACATTCAATACTATTCTTTTAAATAACAAAAACAACAACACCTATTGTTGTTTATGACCTCAAGGATTGATTCATTACCATTCGACTGGTATTTTGTGGGATTTATTGTCCTTGATAGATTTTATTTCGGAATTTGCGTGAACCTGAACAAATTTTATTGCTTAATTTTTTTCTAATCGTTATCGAAGGGTCATTTTTATAAACATTGACCAAGAAACCCGCAACTTTTTTTAGATGTCCTTCAATTAGAAATTGTCGGCATTTTTTTTTCTCACCTCTTTGTCGGCAGTGGAGTGTAAAATTTATCATTTATATTCGAGACCATTCTCATTGAATAACATTGCTTTTGAATAACATTCGATTATTCTTTTGTAAAAACTTAGTTACGCGATTTTCTGTTTCATGTTTTGTTTTCATTCTTTTGGTGGAAAAGTCCCGCTTCTAGAACAATGAATATTTTGTAAACATTAGTCGATTATTTATGATTTAATTTCAAGACTAATATATCACTTTTATTTTTGTTTAAAATTCGAGTTGGGTTCTCTTCGATTTTATGAATTTTTTATACTTTCGATTTTGAAAGGAAAAGTTAAATTTTGATTATGTGAAAATTGCATTCAATATTTTTTAATGGAGCCCCGCCCATATGGTATGGTATGGTAGTTAGAAACATAAGTTAATGATGAACAAGTGCCAAAACCATTAAAAATAGTAATGTGCAACACGATTGCGGGAAGGCCTTTAGTGTTGTTGAGAACTTATAAAAATAATATAAAAATGTATTTTTGTTTGGCTGATTCTCTAGAATAGTATTCAAAATTTTATGTAAAGGTCTGGAATTTACTATGTCATTGTAAATTAGGTTGCTTTTGCACCGAGAAAATTAAATACCTACTTACAGACACGTGGGTTGGAAAACTAGGCTTGGAAGTAAACCATACCAAAAATTAAGCGAGACTTTTGTATGGTAGAGATGTGAAAACATGGACCTGAAATATTCTGTCAATATGTTTTTAACCCT